TTGGCTAGGGTTTTGTTGAGAATTTTTGCATGTATGATCATGAGGGATATTGGTCTATAATTTTCTTTCTTAGTGACACCGTTTCCTGGCTTTGGTATGAGAGTTATCCTTGCTTCATAAAATGTATTAGGAAGTTTTCCCTCCTCCTCTATATTATGAAATACTTTGAGTAGAATTGGTGACTGCTCCCATATGCACTACTCTTTAACAATCAAAATTTTCTTTGTTTTAATAGAACATCTTTTCATTCTGAAAGCCTTAGTGTTTCCATGTAGTCTATATCAAGTTTGTAGAAAAGAAATCTGTGCTAATGTAATTTTTATTTCTGTCTTTTTCATTTTAGGGATCTCTACATGAATTTTGGGGTCAGTATTCGCTTACCTATTTTCTCTTATCAATTTCTAAGGACTTCTTCACTATGCTGTCTGTATCTTCTCCATGTGCCAAATGGCCTTCTAATCAACAGGGACTCTGTGTGTGAGACGGATATGCCAAGAATGAAGTGGGATGAGAATTGAGCTCCTGTTTACTGGTCATTAGTTCAATATGACTCTGATTTTACTGAAAAGCCTAGAGACCTCAATCATTAACCTTTCTCCTCACTAGAATCAGCTATTTATTTCTTCTTTTTCCCTCTCTGTCTCTCACGTGGTTTTTAATTCATTTAACTCATTGATATGATTTTTTTCCCTTTAACACCATGGTTACCAACTTTCAATAATAGACTCTCATGAGAAACTTTATCAAAAGCTCTTTGAGAGTCTAAATAAATATATGCATGCTGTGTGAAGAGTGGATCCCAAGAAAAATACAAAACCTAGGCAGATACAAGTGTCATCTTGTTATTTATCTGCCAACATTTTTATAACTTTAGTAACTACAAAATTAAGCATTGGTTTACTAGATCTTAAAGTTTTTGTTCCTTGCTAAATGCTGTTAAAGAATTCTGCTGTGGAAATACTTATAGCAACATCTGTAACAAATTAATTTCCATTTTCCCTCTTTGGATTAAATTAAATAATCTGTTACCTCTTTCTGTCTACTCTTCTATGCATAGAAGTAGAAGTGTCTGCATTTTGGAACCCATGAGGTCATTATATTTTTATTTAGACTTAACAAGGAGTAAACACTCAAATGGTTAATGTTCAACCATTTCAAGAGTTACCATATGAACAAGAGCCAATGATACTCAGGGAGGAAGTCCAAAGTGCATTGAAAGAAGCAGCAAAGAACAAGGCACCAGGAATTGATGGAATAAAAATTGAAATCTTTCAAGAAAGTGAGGCGGCACAAGAGGCACTCATTCATCTCTGCAAAGAAATTTGGAAGACAACTATCTGGCCAACTGATTGGAAGAGATCAATATTTATGCCCATTCCAAAGAGGGGTGACCCAACAGAATGCGGAAATCATCAGACAATCTCTTTGATATCTCAAGTGAGTAAAGTTTTGCTAAAGGTAATACAGAAACGGCTACAATCATACATTGACAGA